CGGACCGCTCGATCCGGAGTCGAGCGCACCAACTATGAGGCCACCGCGCCTTCAGACTAAGAGTGACTAGCGTCTAATTTCTCCTTACAATATCACCCGTGAATCACACATTAAGGTCAGGAGAATAAAGGAAATGATCACCAACTAAAGAACCTCTTCGATGTTAAACAAATTCTACACTTCAGCACCTTAGGAAATGTTAAGAGAACAGCGTGGAATATATGTATACTGATGTCTAGGTGTACAGAGTTATGAGCGAAAAGTGCATTACCGAAGAATTCTGCGTCCTTACCCTAAATGAAAATATTTCAAGTGAGTATAAATGATAGAGGTAACTGTTGCGTTTCGACGCATTTGCTTTCCATTACGAAACGTTCAGAAAATAAATCTATGCAAGTTTTCGTGGCATTTTAATGAGGGATACTCCTAATATTGTTGCGAGAATTTGAGTTTCTTCCATCCAAGTTTCACTCGATAATTGAGGCCCTTACCATTCAAAAACGCGTACACAAAGTTACTCTTCTCCTGGCCAACGCACTGCGCGTTTCCACCGCGGCATTGCTCAAAGTTGTCTCCAACACAGCCAACCCACGGCTTAGGTTCGGGTCTTTGAGTGAATCTGTTCTCCACCCCGTCCCGAGAATACGTTTTCGCAACGTTAGGTCCTGACCAGCATTCACCGTAACCTTGGATACCAAAGTGAGTGTAGTTCTTCGATACGGCCGCTTTGGCGCACCTAGAAAAAAAAATTTAAGATAAGGTTAGATCAACTTCTAAACTCTGTCTGTTCATCGAAATGTTTTTGATGGGTGATGAGTGCATAGAGAATGACCTGATTTGAAAAACATACGTCACATTTTCACACGCTTTAATTCAATTCTCAGATCATCAATATCACATTGGATGACCCACAAATAGCCATAGCTAGTCTAAGATGGGTCAGTATTAAGAAAGTTATAACTGTCTAAGCTAGCTGCCTAAATGTTACTTCCAAGAAATAGGACGAAAAAGAAGTTATTAAGTAAACTCTCGGATACTTTATTACTTTATTATTTACGATATTTTACTTCTTTTACAACTATTTCAGCATATAATATTACTGCCTTCGTTTGCCAGGATGTCAAACAAAATACCATAGAGATTTTTCCGCCAAGATTTTCCTGGTACGTCTCTTGGACAGGCTGGTAACATATTCCACAGTTTAACACCCATGTTAGAAATTTTATTTTTAATATTTTTCATTTCCGAATTTTTTAACATATCAATGTTTGAAGGAAGATAGCGTGTTATAGTTGCGAGATTTACAAAATCAAAGTTTAAGGAGGGAATCATGGAGAATTCAGCTAAATCAGAAAGCATAATTTATAACACCGAACACCGAAGCAGATTTTCAATTTTTGTTCTCTTGACCGTGTTACGCGACGGCTGAACTGAGCTTTAACTATGAATAAAGGCTAAAAGTTTCTAAAGAAACTCTGGTGCTGCGTCGGTGGGCGTAACAAGGTCATTTGGTTATATCAACTCAGTTGACATTGTAAATTGGCCACCGTAACAAATAAAAAAGCTCGCTTAACGAATAAAAAGGCAAGCTTTTTTATTGGTTACGGTGGCCAATTTACAATTTCAACTAAGTTGATATAACCAAATGAGCTTTAACTATGGCCGGATATTTCTAGTCCGAACACCCGGCAAAGTTAAACCAAAGAAAAACGAAACCAATACAGGCCAAATGTTGACGCTAAATTCATATTACGCTATCATTGCGTAAAAAAGGAGTAAGATGCTTCACTAACCTACAGATCAGCTCTGGCATATACGCCTCCCAATCGTCAGACTGCACGTTAATACCGCTGTACAAGGTGCTCTGAGGATCATTGTCAGTGAAAACAAGCTCGGGAAGGGGTCTGACAGTAGATTTGTTATCCACGAAGCAACCCAATGGCCTCATGGGTACATCACCTGCAAAGGCGAGTGGTAAATTATTGCACAGTTAAAAAATTTTAATAATGTAGTTGTCTTAATTTATGAGATCAGAACAAGTTAAAATCCTCACGCCTCAGAATACATGGAAACACTTACAGCATTCTCCTGTTTTACAGTCAATTGTCTGCGTGTTCGGTCCGATCCAATCTCTGCCGTCTTTGGATGGTACTGGACTATCACATGACCTCACGCGCATTCTCACACCCACGCCACACGATTTAGTACACGCGGTCCAAGATGACCACTCGCCCCAGTTTCCGTCGACTGAAAAATGGAATCAGGTAATGTTGAATGTCAAGAATTTTCCGAGTAACGCATAGAGTGTAAAGCAAAAGGTCATGTTCTGCTAAGAGTTTCTACATCGAGTTCAAACTAATGCTTATGAACCTTTTGTAATAAGAACCCTCTCAAGTATTAGAAACAAAACAAAAATACGACGAGAAAGCATCATGTTTGCTGTCCAAGGTCCAACACATTCCTATGTTCACTCTGTCTTGAACAATGATTTCTAAGGTGCAATCAGGTTCAAAAGTAGAATACATGCTGCCGTGCATCTGTTCAGAAACAGATCATAGATGACATCTAAATGTAGTAAGAACAAAAAAAGTGGGCTCGGAGACGCAGCCGAGTGTGTCACTGATGTTCTTATCACATTTCCACTTCGTCTGTAATCTGACTGTGCAGACCCACGGTAACATGGAATCTTCTCTACTTGTTTTATAACATGTTGTTTATGTTAACGTCATCTATCAGTCTGTCTTCAAACAGGTCATAAGTAAGAACCAATAATTTAGCTTATCACTAAAATTATTACTAAACATTTCACTTATGAATAAAGGCTGATAGTCTCGAAAGAAACTGTTTGGGGCTGCGTCGGTGGGAGTAACGAAATAATTTGGATATATCAACAAAGTCGAAGTGGTAAATTGGCCACCGTAACGATTGCAAAAACTCACGTTTCGAGCGTTAGCCCTTCGTCGGAGCGAATAGAGGAATTGTGGGTTGTGTGTGCTTTTAAAGGCAGAAAATGGAGCTACGTTATTGGTGGGAACATGGCAACGAGAAAAACAAGAATAAATTAGTGGAATGAAAAGCGTTCGTTGATCCCTGTGGGATTTAGACTGCCGGTTTGAAAGATGAGCTTTTGTTCAAGATTTTTACGGCTTTCCGTGCTACCTAAGTGTAAGGAAAGACCGCAGATTGCCATATGTTGCTTAGAATGATTAGGTAAATTAAAATGTCTAGCGACTGGTTTCGATGTGTCCTTGTCATTCCTTTCCACGTCTCGAAGGTGTTCTCGGAATCGGTCACCTAGTCTTCTGCCTGTTTCGCCGATGTATATCTTTTTGCAATAAGTGCAAGTTATGCAATAGATTACATTGGCGGAGGTGCACGTGAAGTGATCGGTGATCTTAATGGATCGTTTAGGTCCCGATATTTTATCAGTGTTGTGAATGAAAGGACACGTTTTGCATCGTGCACGAGCGCATTTAAAAGTGCCTGGTTGGTCATTAGTCTGAAAAGAACTTCTGACCAAAAAATTGCCTATGTTTTTGTCGCGTTTGAATGAAATGAGCGGAGGCTGCGAAAAGATAGTGCTTGTCTCTGGATCGTTTTGAAGTAATTTAAANCCCCCCCTACATCACCATTACCCTTTAAACCAATCAGATGCAAAACTAAAACCAAGCGCGTCTTGACTTCTCGCGTTTCCCCGCCCTTTGGAGAGTTTGTTTGTTTCTACTGAGAGATTTTGTATGATAGTTTTGGTTTAAGACACTTAATTGAAAAGGCAATCCCAACCCACGAAATAAAAGTAAAGAGGGTGTTAGATATCTTACCTTCCTCTACAGGACACTCAGGACAACATTTCCATCGTTTCTTTACCGGATTGCGGCAGTTCAATTCCGGACACTCGATCAACGTACAGCGGATTTTACCATCGTCACATTTGCATTCGGGCGTGCAAGGGCCTGGTGACCAGCGTTCACCGTGTTCGTGTTGTATGCCGTCATAATAACAATCTGAAAAGAGTGGAAAATAAGGAAATAATTAACACATCGATTGAACTTCATTTGCTAAAAAAAAAATACACATACACTTGGGTGCTAATTTGCTACTTACTTGCTTTTTCCCGTGGCCCAAAATGCTTTGTTTCATTGACTGACGAGTGAATAAAGAAATGTAAGTATTAAGCATTATATGCTGTTAAATAACTGAAAATCCTACAAATGCAGATCCAAAAATGTGAAACAAAATGTGAAACTGACAAACAAACAGTGACAAAGGACACTACTCACCAGGGGTAGGTGGGACCGTGGGTGCAACCAAACCAACTGGAGCAGGTGTAGGAACTGCACACGGAATGTAAGTAAGAAGGTCGTTGAGAATCAAAACATGATTAATCTTCAACACCTTGTACGTGTCGCCTCTTTTAAAGTGATAACGTTAGTTTAATAGTTAAGTTCATTCATCATTGAGGGCAGATTTTTGTAGCATAGTACAGTGGAACCTCCATGATTAACAAAACATTCTGCAATAATGTATGTATTGTTGAATTTCCACAAGTACAGTGTACATTAGTTTAAGAGCCATAGGCAGCAACAAAATAGAGAGCATTAGGTACATTTCACAAACTGGAACTTCATATAACATACAGTACACTAAATCTTTGTGATCAGTCACACTTTGAACAGTTAAGGTGTTCTCTACACGGAGGTCAAAAATAAGCTTTGGGACCCAAAAAAGTGTCTCTCCCCTGAATAGAGGTTTCCCTTTGATAGAAGTAAGGTAAACAAATATTGCATCATTTCTGGAACTTGTCCCCTGAATAGAGGAGTTTCCTGAAAAGAGGTGTGCCAAGGAGAGGTTCAACAGCATGATAATTATTCTGGTCAGGAGAGTCACCCCAATCCCCCTGGGGAAAGGGAGATTGCCAGGGGCAAGTAGACGCTAACAAGGGAAAATAGTTGAAATTTAAAAATGATCTCTGGCTAAAATGATTAAAAAACTACGAGCTTTTGACTGCCCGAACTGCAGTCTTCAATGGGTAAAATGAATGATAAGAAAGCAATGAGAAAATTTAAATAAAGACATGAACTGCAAAATAATGAGAATGTAAATGATTATAAATATTTGTTAAAAAGAATGTTGTATTGTCCAGGTAACGGGCAAGAATTGTTATCTGCGTTAGGTATGTTAGGCATACCAGAGTAACACCTTTTTAAATTTCAACTTATGTTTCATCCTGGCTGCGACCCTTCAATATTTTCACAAATAAGGCAAAACCTAATTAAAGACAAATGAATAAAGGCTGATAGTTTCGAAAGAAACTGTTCGGGGCTGCGTCGGTGGGAGTAACAAAATAATTTGGATATATCAACAAAGTTGAAATGGTAAATTGGCCACCGTAACGATTGCAAAAACTCACGTTTCGAGCGTTAGCCCTTCGTCGGAGCGAATAGAGGAATTGTGGGTTGTGTGTGCATTTAAAGGCAGAGAATGGAGCTACGTTATTGGTGGGAACATGGCAACGAGAAAAACAAGAATAAATTAGTGGAATGAAAAGCGTTCGTTGATCCCTGTGGGATTTAGACTGCCGGTCACTTATGAGCCATACTTTCCTATTGCCTTCTAGAGGTATGATTGGTACTGCACGACTTTTAAATCTGAAACCAAACAGTTAGTTACCAGGACAATAATCCTTCACTTGACATGATTTCCGTTCAGTATCAGGACCAAACATGGTGCAATCCCTGCCGCCAAACTTAGGGGCTGGGTTTGAGCATGCGCGCCATCGCGTCATGATGCCCGTCCCACAAGTCTTGTCGCACACAGTCCAATCTGTCCACTCGGTGTAATTACCATCAACTAAGAAAGCAGTGAGAAAATTGTTAATTATCAGAAATCTAATTAGTTTAGAAGGTGATCCCTTGATTTTTACAGGTAGGCAGAGGTAAATTTGACTTTAGCCTGACCGTTTTTAAAATTTCTTGATACACTTTCATTTTTTTTTTACCTGCGCACGGTCGGTAGCTACAGTCTCCAACTTGTTTTTCCGCGCCGCGACAAGGCTCGCCGTTATTTTTCGGAGCTGGACTGTTACAAGACCGCTTCCTCTCCCTAGTCCCCGGACCGCAACTAGTTGTGCACGCTGACCACAACGACCACGGACCCCAAACACCGTTCACTGAACAGAAAACGTAATTGTCAGCAAAACAAATTGCATCAGCGTAGCTGTACTATAAACCTACCTACACTTGGTGCCCACACGCAGTCATTTGAATCAAATCAGTTCAATAATCAAGGTTGTAAATAGACTGCGAACATCATTCCGGCGCGAAAAGCTTACAATATGAAAGAGATCATTAGTGCTCACCTGGACAATCTCCAAGATTGCATTTTGCGGCTTCGGTATTAGGTCCAAGGCCCCTCTCTTTACATGTGAGCCCGCCATATTCTGGTTCTGGGTTAATGCATGTGCGCGTGCGTTTTTTGACCCCAGGCCCACATGTGGCTGAGCAAGAGCCCCAGTTGGACCAAACTGAGTAATTTCCGTGAACTAAAAGGAAACGAAGAAAACAGACGTTAAGTACGATTAGAAAAACTTCATCTTCCTGATTTCGTCTTTTTAGTCTAAATAACGGAACTAGTTGTTTTCAGAAGTCAAACGACAAAAGTGACTTAATATGCAACCATACTGCAACTTACTAGGACACTGTATAACTTGACAAGGTCGGATATGTTCCGGATCTCCAAGATCCGTGCAGTCCCGTCCACCATGTTGCGGTTCCGGATCTGTACAGGTTCGTTTTCTTGTTTGAATCCCGTAACCGCAGGTCTTGGAACAGGCGGACCACTGAGACCAAGGGCTGTACTTACCATCCACTGTACAAAGCAAATAAAAAAATATAATTTAGAGGAAAAAAGAATTGAATTCAACACAGGCCACATAAAAACATAAGAAATTTTGTCATTTAGACCAAAGAAAGTTACAACTGCCCATCAACCTAGCTAGCCCCGGTTGTTCGAAGATTGGGTAACTGGATAACGCTATCCACTGGATAAAACTTCATCCGGTGGATAGCGCTAAACGTTCTGCTATCACTTATTCACCGGAGAGCGATTTATCTCTTAAGTAGCGGTATCCGCCCATTATACAACTGGGTCGGGGCGTTCATAGCTGGGTTAAGATAACCCAAGGTTAGCGTGAAATTTGAATTCAGATCTGAAAGCCTCAAAAGTTTGATCTTTTTTTGTCTAAAATTTGATGATTGAATTATCTAAAAAGAATAGGGAAAAATTATCCCCAAAAGCCGCTTGAACAGAGGAAAAAAGAACCTGGATTAAAATTTAACCCTGGGTTAGTGCTAATCGGCCTTTGAACTGGGCTCTCGGTACTCTTTTCTCTCTACGCAGCTGTCTATTACAGCTGTCTTTGTCACAGCTGTCATGTAAATAGACACTTACCAGGACAGTTCACATCGTAGCACTGGACGATCTCCTCCCCAGATCCCAAGTGTCCACACGCAACACCACCGTAGGCTGGCTCAGGATTGGTGCAGAATCGCTGCCTCTTTTTGATGCCACGGCCACACGTGACTGAACATGGCGACCAGCCATTCCATTCAGTGTAACCACCATTCACTAATCGGGTAATAAAAATATAAAGACTGTGTTGAATATGCAGCTCACCATAGAAATCAAAGAGGCCCGGAATAAGTGATACAACGTGTAGATTGACCACTGACGTAAATGATAATTTCAGTCTAAAACTGAGTAATCGGCTAAATTTGTTCCGTATACTTGCTACAAAAACCCGTTCACCATTGCTATTAAAGAGCATTTTAAAACTATAGCCAAATAGAAAAATTCAGTTTCAAACTCGACCAGAAATTCATTCTCTCTCTTTTATACGCGAAAGATTTGGGCCCAAATATCCTTATTAGGTAGCTACGAAAGATTTTAAGCCGTGTCTTCTCCTATTAAAGGAAAAATAAAAAAGCCAACGGTGTGTTTAATCCTTTGCGATTAAAGTTATTCCAATACTTTTGAACTTGATTTTGTCGAGACATACCTGGACATGGCGTCAGATAACATTGAGTTATCTCCATACCCGGTCCCAGTGCCTGCTCAGTGCAGGACTTCCCGCCAAACTGTGGCTTGGGTGACATGCACAAGCGAGTTCTGTTCTTCTTTCCGATTCCACACGTGACTGAACACGGCGACCATGGAGACCAATCACTGTATTTTCCATCAACTGTTGAGCACACGAATAATCAATGAGTTACAAAGTGAACCGATTACTTTTCCTTATAATAAACGCGAACTTGAAAAAGAGCGGAAAAGTGCGGAGGTCTGCCGGCGTAAAAAACGCTAAGGGCGGCAAGGTCTCCAAAGATAAAGCTTACGAACCCCCTTTACCGTGGCCATTTTACTTCATCAACTCAGTTAATAAAACCAAATTATCTTGTAATACCCCCACCGACACAGCACCAGAGTTTCTCTGGTAACTTACCCTAAAGAAAAAAGCTAATTTGTATGGCGTATTTTTGCTTTTACTCTAAAGCCTGATTTTCATTGCGACGCAAGCACAAGCGTAAGCCCAAAGGAAGGCATAAGGTTTGCCTGCCGAATGAAACGAACGTTGACAAGCACTGGCACCAGGAAAAAGGAAAATTTTGATCCTTGTGCTTGTGCTTGGGCTTGTGTTTATACCTGCGTCGAGGCCGTTTTGCGTTTGCACTTGCGCTCGTACTTGCATCCCTAATGAAATCAGTCTTCCTCTTCTTCCAACTGATTCTGTTTATCTGTATGAGCCGTAACCTTAAATTCGCTTTTATTTAATTCTCCTTAATTTCAAATATCTGAAGTACACGAGAGTTTCTTTCCATTATGAGGTATGTCCTAGGAATGAAGACTTACTTGGACATGGTTCTGACCGACACAGCCGGCTTTCCTTCTTGTCATTCTCGCATGACATATCCTTCTGGTATTTGGGTGGTGAGCAGTCCCTCTGGCGGTGTTGCACGCCGCCTCCACACGTGAATGAACAATCACCCCATTCAGTCCATGTCCCGCACGTGCAGTTGGCTGAAAAAAGAAAACAAACATGTCGGAGAGTTCTTATACCGGAAGGGGGAAGGCAGTCTTCAAAAGGGCTGTTATCATTTCAGTCAAGTGAATATTTTTTCGGTCAGATGTAGTTGGAGGTGTTTGTTACCTCGGCAGTCCACCAGCTGACAGCTTGTTTTCTCGTGATCTGGACCCAGCCATGTGCAGTCTTTTCCGCCCACTGTAGGACGAGGATTGGTACAGAACCTCTTCCTGGTCATTATGCCTTGACCACAAGTCACTGAACACGGCGCCCATAGAGTCCATTCACTGTAATTACCATTAACTGCAGAAAAAAATTTCAAATCCGTTAGCCAAGATCGCTGGATGATTTAGAAGTAGTAGAAGATCCAGCTCTTACCAGGACATGCATTCAAGTTGCACAGCTCACTCTCCTTCTCGGGTCCAAGGGGGGTGCAGTCTGAGCCTCCAAACTGTGGAGGGGGGTTGGTACATGAGCGAGACCTGACCCGACTACCACCCCCACAGGTACGATCGCATTCACTCCACAAGCTCCATGTACCATACATGCCATTGACTACAAGAGAATGAAGATAAAAATATTAAACCTTCGACGGCAACAGAAAGTCGCGAAAATAACGACACTTGTTCCAATTTAAAACAGGGGAACATAAACTTAGACACCTACCTGGGCAAGGCTCAGTGTGACAGCTGTCACTCTCCATGGCTGGTCCAATCAGAGAGCAGTCTCTCCCTCCGTGCATGGGAGTTGGGTTTGTGCAATTTCTATGCCTGTATTTCACACCACCACCACAAGACATAGAACACGTGGTCCATGCTGACCAATCATTGTAACTTCCGTCCACTTAGGTAGAAAAAAAGAGTTATATTTACACAGGTTGGACTAGACTGAAAATGATATATTAAAGCGATCAGGAAAAGCAAAGGCGTGGTTACTTACGCGGACATGATCGTTCAAAACAGTGACTGCGTTCTTCACTGGGTCCCAGACCTTGCTCATAGCAATCTTTACCGCCATTGGAGGGCACAGGATTGTTACACGCCCTGATTCTCTTTTTAAACCCACGCCCACAAGTCTTACTACATATGCTCCAGCTGGACCAATCACTGTAAGCGCCGTTTACTGAAAGAGTAAGAATTTATAAATAATTTATTTAATCACCCAAAGTCTACGCATTGGAAGGACTTCCATAGTCATATCAGTGTCTTAAGTTTTCGTGGCTAGAAGCGACTAGGTGCATTGCTGCTTCATCTGGATGGGACGATAGTCCATCAGAGGTTATTTTTCACATTTTCTGAGTAGTTCGCCGAAGCATAATAACCGTCGTGTTTCCGGCCTGAGATAAAAGAGTGTTAGTAAACAAAAATGCGTAAAGAAAAGGCTTCGGAACATTGGATTTTTTTTTTCCTCTTTTTGTTGTATTCTCCTTCAGAGCCGTTGTTTGGTCTTGCGATGCGACATGCTATTGCCTAGAAGAGGATATAACGCATTGCGTGATAAGACCAAACCAAGACTGACCGAAGAAAATACTCAAACAAGGCTCAGCTATCAACGCGAACTCGATTCTATTCGGAAACTCAGAGCTATGATTTCGGATGTCGTTATTCAGTAATGACGTTCAAACTATATATTTACCCAAACAGTCCTGTTGCTTGCAAGGTTGGATCTCAATATTGGGTCCTATATCAGTGCAGTCTCTACCACCGTGGAGTGGAGACGGGTTGGTGCAGGAACGAGTCCTAGTTGTGGTTCCCTCACCACAGGTCGCGGAACAAGCGGTCCAGTTAGACCACTGCGTGTAGTTACCGTCAACTGTGAAGGAAAAAAACTGTCAGTTGGTGCTTCCCTTTTTGCAAACGTTTATAGCGAGGCAACCACAAGCTTGAAAACTATTTAAAATAGCAGGAGAAAATAAAATGTTAGCCCGGAGGTTTTGCAAAACAAGAAGATGAAAAAAGAACCAGAAGGAATGGCGACGTAAACGACATTGCTAATCTAAACACTGTTTAGGACGCACTTCACATATAAACTTTAAATATGAGCTGGATTTTACCATGAACCACTTACAATGTAGTTATAGAGTTTCCAAAAGTTATCGAGGGTCCAAGTATACGGAAGACCCGAACATTTCCGGTGTTCCGCGCTCGTGACAAAAAGAACTTAAAATGTTTCTTTTAAAAGAGAAAGTTATATTTGAAACCAGTTCTTATATAACCTGTAACATTTTTGTACCTGGACAATCCACAAGGTAACACTGTGTACTCTGCACAGGTCGCCCCAGTCTCGAGCAGTCGAATCCACCACTTGACGGAGGAGGATTGGTGCACATTCGACTACGAACCATGAATCCAGGCCCACAGGAATGTGAACAGGTCGACCATTCACCCCACTCGGAATAATTGCCATTAACTGAGGATAAAAGTATCGACAATGATTTCACTATCATACAGCGGAAGGAAGCCCACTTATGACCAAAACTACAAACAAATTGCATTGGACGTACTTCACTGCAATAGAGCGCTTTTCGATTGAATGCCGTAAAACCAAAACCAAAGCAATCACAGCTGCCAATTATAGCGAGGAAAATATCACGAAGAGCCAATGAGAAGCAAACTGCCTGAAGCGCGGGAAAACGCAGGCGACCAAGTCGCGATTGGTATTAGTTTTGAATCTGATTGGTTGAGAAGGTGGCGCGAGTTTTCTGAACCAATTACGGAGCGAAGTAAAGCAAAAACAAAGCAACCATGATTACTTTCGACACCCAGTTTTTCCGCACTTAGAACCAATAATCTGTACTTTCAAGGAACTTTCACTGGGTTTTTTTTTTTTTTTTTTTTTGCAATTGTCCTTGGCCCTGATCGGCCGCTGGAATAACGACCCCAAGTGAAATTCGCTCTAACGTTGAAATAAATAGTTTAAGAAAACCAAAACAATTTTCTGAACAGTTAAGCCTTTACCGACCTCCACATTGCCGCATGTAGCAATGTTTGGCTTCGTTGGGCAGACCCAGGCCCTGCTCTTCACATGACTTCCCGCCGAACTGAGGCATCGGGTTGGTGCATGTTCTGTTACGGGCCTTAACGCCGACACCACATGTAGTTGAGCATGACGTCCATTCTGACCAGTCAGTATAGTTACCATTTACTGCAGAGGAAACAAAGATCGTTAGTCATCACAAACAAACTCGCAATCTGGTGGATGATTAACCCTTTAAATCCAGGGAGTAACCACAAGGAAACTCCTTCTTATAATTTCAACGCATTTACAGCGGAAGTGTAGCAAGAAGAACGAAAACATGAACCAATAGGATACAGTGTGATTGACAATCAAATTCTCGGTGGCCCAATGATAGGAAATGTATGGCAGACAGATAAGAGAATTGATACCTAGACCTTAGAGGTGAAAGTGGTAAGTATAAACTGAGAAGGGTGAAGAGTGATTGAGAAGATTGAGGAAGATTAAAACTAATTCCCCTATGAAGAACTTGAAAAAATACAATATTTTTCTAATATGGACACGACGCGACGAGTCAACGGTAGAACAATACAATACAATACAATACAATAGTTTATTGACACTCCCCTGGTGGGCTTTTCGGTGACAATGCAATTAAAACCATTGTAAACATCCCTACTTGAGAATTAATCATATAATAAATGTTAACGCTAAAATACTGTACAATATGCACATTTCAAGTTAAAGTTAGAATTAATTAAAATACTAATAAGGTACTAAAAACACTATCACAAGGTGCTATTTCAAAAGTCAGTAATCAATTCGTTTTTCACATAAAATTTCAAGGTAGAAATCGATTCTGAAGTTTTAAGAGCACTGTTAAGATTGTTCCAGATATGCACCATGCGGTAGTAAAGTGTTCTCTGTCCGGCACTCGACCTATACAAGGGAATCAGTGTTTAATAGTTGGCAACTTCGAGCCACGCGCACGGTGACCTCAATTCTTGTCGGAAATTGGTCGCAGAAGTAATGTGGAGCTTAACCATTCATGCATTTAAATGCCATGACAGCGTCGCGGAAGAACAGTTGTTGTTTAATTGGAAGCCAGGGAAGATCTCTTAGTGCGGGGGTTATGTGCTCGAATTTCTTGGTTCCTGTAATAATGCGCGCGGCAAAGTTCTGCTCAGACTGTAATCTACAAATATTTTTGTTTGAGGTGTTCGACCACACTGTACAGTAATTTGGTAAAGACTGAGGCATTTATTACTGTCACCAGTTGGTTACGGTCAAGAACATGTTTAACCCGACTAATTTGTGCGAGGCTAGACATACAAGATGAGGTAGTTTCTAAAACATGATCATCAGAACAACTGATTTGTAAGGTTAGCCAACAAAAACAAACAAAAATGTTGAAGCCTATGAGACCCCACGGGAAAACGTGTACTGGACGCACGGGCACGCGTGTTTAACACGGCGTGCGAAGCGTGTCACAAGTTTGCAAATAGTATGCTCATATTCATTAAAGTTCTTGGTCGGAAGCTCTCCAACCGCTCGCTTTTGTGTTCACACTTTGAGATTGAATAAGTTATTGAGAGGATTCTGTTACTCATTTACTCTAACAGGATCGCTCTAGTACTGAACGCTGCGCAGGGTTCAGTCCACAAAATCGTACAAAAACATACAACAAAGAAATCTGTCGACTATCCCGGTCATTCACCTCAACTAACTATGCTCTGGCATGGCTGCACTTTAGTCAGTGATTGGAAGATAAAAGGTTACCTGGGCAGTGTCGACTGTTGCAAAGCCTCGACTGTACTTTTTCTCCCATACAGAACAGTTCTCCTTTAGGGTGAACACAGACTCGCTTTCTGAACTGGATACCAGACCCACACGTTCGTGTACAGTCGTTCCAGTTACTCCAGTTGGTCCAATTTCCGGTTGCTAGTCACGTGACAGAATGGAAGTATATTAATAAATGCGTCAGAAAAAGGCTTCTCCAAGTTTAATACATTTTCATGAAAATAAGGGATGCGTATGAACTAACTTGTCAGTCGCTGCGTATCACTTTCATAAAACACCAAGTTCTCGCAGCTTATTTACAAGAAAATTTATAGGAGTTACAAGGGAGAAATAGCGACTAGATCTGTAGAGTCAATCGGTTACTGATGACAAGTACAAACCTGGACATTCAGCCAATAAACAAGAACGCTGCTCAAATGCTGGTCCCAGGTTTGTGCAATCCTTTCCGCCCGCGGAAGGTCTGGGATTAGAGCAAGTTCTATGCCTGGATGTCACACCAGGCCCACAGGTTCGACTGCAAGCTGTCCACTCAGAAAATGCTGAGTAACCTCCATCAACTACAAGAAGGAAATAAGGTTTAGTTTCGTAAATACTGAAAGAAACGTTAAGGTTTGAACACACAAGCGGACAGGTCAAAGCAAAATCTCTCTGAAGCTAACATCCCCGTTTGTATGTCTTCTAACACAAGTCAAAGTTATCAAACTCGCAAATTCAAACCGATCTGAATATAAGTAACTTGTTTCAGGCGACAGTATGCGCTTTTGATCACTACATGTTAAAAAGCGCACTATAAATTAAAAAATAATCATTATTATTATTATTATTATTATTATTATTATTGTTATTATTATTATTATTATTATTATTATTATTATCAGTAATTATGCTGTTGTAGGTTGAAGGCTCACCACAACAAACAAAGTAAACTGTCACTGCACAAGTCGCAGGGACCAAAGGCAGCGACTTCCGGCTGGTAGGTCCTTCACACCTCAAGCGTTTAGCAGAGAACTCCGGTGACAGGGTCATCCCCGTCAACCAGCTTGCCAGCCACCTTTTCTTGCTTCTATTAAAAAGCCTTCTTGCGATGTTTTAGTTCAAGGAGTTAACACGCGCAGTCAAAGGGAGGTTTGAAGAATTCGTAATCTTTCGAAATGTAGCCTACACTTTTTTTCTACTTTCTGCAGTTTTCTCTATCCACCCTTGTACCTTCTTTATTTGTTATCACATCTCAATCTAGACTCTTTAACTTACCATGTTTGCATTTCTTTGTTATCCTTCAACTTGGCAAGTTTTGGTTTGGTAAAAAGACGACGCGAAATGTCGTAACATGGTGTCTTTAAGGCACGAACTCATCTCAAGCGAACTCAAAGATTGAAACAGATGTTTAACGATTGAATTTTTACTATCACTCCTAGCAAAAAAACCTTTCTCACCTTCGCACGGACCGTCATTACATGAAGAAACTTCTCTATCGCTCCCAAACCACGAGCAGTCGTGTCCTCCGTGAGCAGCAGGGGGATTGGTGCAGGTTCGTGTTCGGTACCTCGTACCCTCCCCACAGGTCTTATCGCACTGTGACCAGCCGGTCCAATCAGTGTAGCCGCCATCATCTGGGAGAAAAGAGTAACAGACATCCAATCAGGAAACAGTTCTCTCACAGATAAAGTGAAAAATAAGATCAAATGTTCTAACTTACGTGGACAGGAAATGAGATTGCAGACTTTAGACTCCATAGCAGGTCCCAGACCTACTGCAGCACAGTCACGGCCACCGTTGGTCGGGGCGGGACTGTTACAGGTTCTGTATCTTTGCGTCAGACCTCCACCACATGTGACGTCACAGTCGGACCAGTCACTCCATATCGAGTATCCACCATCCTCTGCGAACGAAATAAAAGTGTTTGGAGGAGAACTCCCGAAAAGAAAAAAAGGAACAAGAGTAATAAACGAGAGAGTTGGCGTTTTGTTCTGCGTTGTTTTTTTATCTGTTTGCGATGTGTTGCGATATCTTTCGCGATGTGTTTTTTAATAAACGTACCTGGACACAACAGAACATTGCATTCTCTTGTTTCCAGCGAGGGACCCAGTGAGGAACAGTCCACTCCACCCTGGGTGTCCTTGGGGAAGGTGCATTTTCGTGTCCTCTCCTGTGTACCTCCTCCACAAGTAGCCGAACACGGGTACCAATGGGACCAATCCGAGTACACTCCTGTAACGGAAGCTATTCAAGCCCAAAAATTAACTCAGTGTTATCTGTACCTCTTATGTTACACAACAAGTCAAGTTACAACTGTAGAAGCATTATGTTACTTACCAGCAAACGTTGCCGGCATAGGAGTGGTTCCAACTGATGAGGATTCCTGAGGTTCATCGGAACTAGGAGTCTCTGTGGCCGCACTTGTTCCTGGGGAGTAGGCCTGTGTCGCGTGGCTTGTCACATGGCCTTCGGTGACCTTCGAAGCAGCATGGGTTCCATTGGTGGCCATAAATCTTTCAGCAGATGCGAATTTAGTTGTCTTCGGTGATTGTACTGTTTCTCGACCTTCTCCTGAAAATGAAGTGGCAGCACTTTTAGTCCACGCACAAAACGAGTTAGTGATCTACACTGTGTAGTTGTGCGATATTGTATGCGCAAGATTTCCTTACCAAGACAATGTCCCCACATTCCATCAATATCGTAATTAGAGGTGGTAGCACACCAGGGCTTCTTATTTTCATCGTCTGTGCAGCCAAAATACTGGGTTCCACGTTAAACGAAAGGGAAAACACAGCAAGCGCCTTTACTTGTTCCCCCTTCAGTCTCCACACAACGCGCGTTCAGACCTGTGTGTAAAGAGCCGAGTACTCAATGAGCAAAATAGACGACGACCTCATGGTATTTCTAATTAACCACGTTAACAAAAAGAAGATAAGGATTTAACGCAGCTGTTATCCGACACGTCTATTTTATACGTTGTGTTCTGTAGCCACGGATGCACATTACCTACCAAGACTTCTTTAACTCTACTTCAGACATAATAGCAGAAACGCAGCCGAAGTCAGGTTTCAAAAGATTTTCAATTGAGTGCTGAAACTATTCCAAAATGACGTTGGTTTTGCTCTACTCCGTAGTGTGATTGTTCCAGAAAACTTCTGTCACCCCC